TCACAAGTCTGTGCCAGTGAAACTGAAACAAGGATTTCAGGCAAACTGTCATACTGCAAATGAAAGTAAAAATGTAAAAAATGTGACCTTGTCAAGCATGTCAATAAAAAAAATCTACTTAATGAAAGCCTACATGTAGGTAAGGGACTGACCGAGGCCAGCCTGCGTGTTGGCAGGAGACGGGAACTGAGAGTTTCCAGGTCCAAGATGTGGCTGGAACCAGATCTGTACATCCTGCAGGGACCTGTGGGTGCATTTAAATGCTGATTAGGTGGACAGATGCTCTCTTTACTGGAGAACATGATGACCAGATGGATAAAGCAGTACTACAGCTGTCCACAGGGTCATAAAATGGCACCTTGCAACAAAGAGACCTCGGTCTCCCAGGGCATAACAACAGAACTAACTTGTGCGCCAACTCACACTTGCTATCTGCAGCATGATAAATCCTATCCTATCTGGCGTGCGAAGATAAAATAAGCTAACGAGAAACAGCAATGACTGTTAATAATCATGTGCTCAAAAATGGCTAACACAGTTAGCAATATGAGCGTGGAACGTTCAATGAAACATGACAAGTCTCATTAACTGCGCTGAGCACGTTCAGACCACACATTTCATCTGTCTACAAGTGACACTACAGGGCTGCTATACATTTACATTTTACTTATGTAGTGGATGCTTTTATCCAAAGCACTTGAGGGTCAGATAGTCCTTGGAGTAACTGGGGGGTTAGGGCCATGTTCAGGGGCACTATGGTGACATCACTCTTCCAGTACAGGGATTTGAACCAGTGACTTTCTGATCACAGGCGCAGCATGTTAACCCACCAAGCCCCCATGCTTTTTAAGGGTGCTTTTACCGTACTTTTTGTACTTCAAGAAAGGATGAAAAGTGTGGTACTTCAAGGTGTTGGTGTTCCACTGGTGTAAAAACTGGAACCAGCACCAAATCACAACACCAAACGGGGTATTTCGTACTGAATTAAAAAAATGACTGTAGTATCTTATAGGGCTGGATGATGTGTAATATTAATACCAACATCACATGCAATTCTCACATCACAAGTCAGCTATATTAAAATAAGGCTTTTTCTTACTTTCTTACTTTCAGTCCAGTACGGACCTTACAGGGGGTTAAAGTTTTGCTAAAATATCTTTACTTTGTTACTCTGTCAAAGGAAAAAAAATTGGCAAGCTTTGCTATCTAAATTATTATTGCTAATATATGTTTAAAAATCTGTTTAAAGTTTACCTCCACTGCTACTGCATGAGTGCTACATGCATTCTCCGAGACAATCATAATCATTTTCATCCTTACTCTTTAAATCACTTGTAGACACATTTGGGAGAAATTTATTAACTCCTTTTTGTTTTATAAATTCCCCAATTTTTTTTTTTTTTTTTTTACAATCCTAGGTACTGTAGTTGATGCAATGGAAAAGCACCCACAAAATCACATTGCTAGGATCCTAGTATGTTAAACACATCCTAGTACAGACGCTCCTCTACTTACGAACTTTCAACTTACAAACTTTCAGACATACGAACGAAGAGGTCTGCACTTCACTTGCATGACCAATCGACAAAGAAAGCATTTCAAGTCCCACCTCAAAGTAACAAAGTACCAAAGTAGTACCCCAGCTGGTTTGGCACTTTTGGTATTTGAAGTTTCGGTACTGGTACTCGCCTAGAAGTCAATGGAAAGCACCTAAAGTACTGTACCAAAACAACGGTACTTGGTGTGGTGGAAATGTGCCGGCCAAGCTCTAACAGGTTTTCCTTTCCACCCAGTGCCATATTTTAACTGGTTGAATTGCTAGTCCATTCTGTATAATATCTGTTTCGCCAAAAACTTTAGGGAAAACATGGAATTTAAGAAACACAGAGTAACACAGATGTCACACACGCACAGACCCTCAGGGGGCGGCAGAGAGCCCTGTATATACAGAGGGATGGTGGATCCCCACTCACTTCGTGTGGATGCAGTACAGTTTGATCTGCACTCCCGTTTTGGCCTCCAGTGCCCCTTGGCCCCCGTCTACATCAGAAAAAGAAGAACAGACAGATTGGTGTTCTGGGGGGGGGGGCCGGAGCGGTCCACGCCTCCCACCGCACACCCACCATTGGTGGCGCTCTCGCTCTCCTCGTCGAGGGGCAGGCCCTCGGAATCGGGCGCGCGGCGGCGGCTCGTGTCCAGGACGCCGAAGCTGAGCACAGGGTGGGCGAGCAGGAACTCGGAGATGGCGCTGAAGTGGGCGTGGCCTCGCTCCAGGTCCTGGGCCAGCTCCATCACGTACAGCACCTGTGGGGGGGGGGGGGGGGGGGGCGCTTCTATGCACTGACTTCCAAGTGTTACGTAGTATGGCTGTTCATCGTTTGTCTATTTTGGAGTGTTTGTCAGGTTGTGTAGATAATACAGTAACAATAATGATCTCTCTGTCTGCTGTCTGATACCCTGTCCTTAGCACTGTAATGTCTGTCCGGTTGTGAATGCTGTACTTTCAAGGAGGAAATTACATTTCACTCTGTACTCTACTGCCCCACAAAGGCGAAGCACAGGAACTACACTGACACTAAAACTGAGGAAAAGGGCTTCAAAGTTCTCTGAATGTCTACCACTATCTGTAGTTCGTAAGTAAATGATGAATTTGTCACGAGATAAAACAGAGCCTAACAGACCAGATTTCGGGCATAATTCAGTTTTGATCAAATATGCAGTTACAGTATTCTGCCTTCATTGGGCAGTGTGACAACAACAAAGCTTTACGTAACTTCATAGGATCATGATATTAAACACAAACACTCCTGGACCTGGATCCTGCTACTCTGTCCACCATGAGAAGTCTGAAGTCTGCCTTAACCGGGAGGTTCTGCTTTCAGCCAGCAGGGGGCGACACACCCACCTTCCTCTGCACGTCGGTGAGAACCAGGTACGTGGCCGTCAGGTCTAGACTGACCTTCAGACTGGGAATGATGGGGGAGCTGAAGGGGTCTGGAGAGAACCTGAAGTTCAGGTGAGACAGAGATCAGCAGCGGCATGGGGGGGCGGCTGTAGACAGGGGGGGTGCCTAAGCAGGGGGGGCGTGTCTAAGCGGGGGGGGGGGGGGGGG